GATCAAGGACCGAAATTTGGAGGAGAATAAACCTTGCTTTCGTGAGATATCGCGTACAGACGAACAGACGAACACACAAACAGACAAATACCTATCAACATACTTACCGATCTTGAGATAGATGAGTAAAAAGAGGACAAAACGAATATCAAGTCTTTTCAAGTCAAGGTAACGCGACCGTAAATGTGTACATTTGGTATATGAATATATATATATATATATATAGTTTGCCGACCACTGGTTTCAGAGGAGTTTCATTGACTTTTAAACCTTAGATTCCCGTACATTTCATCGAAAACACATATCGTCATAAATGTTTTACCCTTGGTGCGACCAAGGGTCGTACATCATTATGATAGCGCTTTTAGGTGCTTTCTGCTTTATATCTTAAGTTGTCGTGATTTAAGGGGTTTAAGCTGAGTATTTGTGTGAACAAACAGCATATTCATAATCTAATAACGAAACGTAACTTCATTTTACAGAGAAGTCACAGGCAGGAGGTAAGCATATATCTCCAACATCAGGTCATCTGGAACTGATAACTGGCTGACTAATCTCAACCAATCCAACTTTTATTCGCGTATCGTAGTTTGATAAACAAATGGCTTGAGATACCGACGTTTTTAGGTCATCATATTATCTATCCGAAGTTGTAATTTGTACTTCATCAGTTTCCCCGATAGGACAATTGCTATGTCCAACATGTTGAACATTTTTAACTGTTCACAAAATTAGCTGTTTATGTAATATTGGCTGAGCTTACAAACATTCATCTAAATTGACGTAATTTAAGCGAAAAGATGTAAAATTGCATTATCAAATGGCGCCTGCATTCATTTTTTTTATTCACAGCAAAATCAAAATCTCATCTTATACGTAAACCTAATATCAACAAAATTTGTGCCATTTGAGCGGCATCGAATATTACACTGTTGAAATTTATCTATCTGAAATTAGTAAAATTCGTTTAATTAGGTAATAATCATTAACAAATTTCCTCACCAGTTCAGTGCATTATCGCCATTATCCTATATTTGTTTACGTCTGAGCGTTAACGGGATCGGCTTGCCTTACATGTTGTAGTTGTAATATTTTAACATGGCTATTAGATATATATAATGTTTAATATTAATGTTGTGACAGAGCTGAAATTAAGAAAGGTTGTTAGTTTTCAAAAATGATTGCAAGTACATAATTTTAATTTCGTTATGTTTGTTATTTGAGTGTCTAGATACTCAAAAAACTTAACCCATAAAATTAAAAATTACCTCTACGAAAATAAATGAAATTGTTTTTAATTTTGTTTAAACATTGGTTCGCAAACGGTGGGGCGCGTCTCATACGGGCGGCGTAGGCAATTTTCAAGAAGGCGTGAAGCTTTAAAAAAAAATATGTACTAGATTTGATCTTGCTCGCCTCACGCATGCTCAAGTTAAATATCGTCATCTCATAATAGGATTTGTGATCCTGCAATGCAAATGCGAACTTGATTTTAAATATATATTTCTACAGAGTAGTTTAGTAAACTAACTTCCTGAAAAATTCATATTTCTTTTTCTTGAAAAAGAGTGGTGTAATTCAAAAAAGATTTTATTTCTGCTCTTCATGGATAATCTAAATTAAAGTACCTTTTATGTTTTAAACAAAAATTTCTGATTTTATTCTTTGGAATTTCTATGTGAATATAAGTATTTTGTTTTTTTCTTCAAAAGTAATTTGCTTTTCACAAGATGTTCGTTTGAAAAATTGTTTCAATTTTTTTTATTTTTCTTTCAAGAAACTTTTTTTTTATGTTTCAAATATTAAAATTTCCATCATTTTGGTGTTATCTAAATATCCAACTTTTTGTATCAGTTTCAGTAGATGTGAATGTGGTTATCGCAGTAACAACAACGACCATATCACTTTCTAAATGATCTCCAATTGTCCACGATTTTAGTCCGATTTTCTGATAATCTGTTTTCACTGATGGAAAAAAGTTTTGAATTTTACATTGTTTGTGATTTTTAAACGTTCAAATTATCATATCATTTATTTTATTCGTTATTTCATGGATTTTCCATAGCAAATAAAAATAGAAATACGTTTTATAAAGTTGATTTTAAAATCAGATAGAAAAAAGCTGCATGTCTCCATCTAACGGGGAGTACTTTGGCCTTAGCTGACTACTTTCAAGTAATTAGAGTACGAAAATAATAATGGAAACTTTCAGTACCTATTGTACAGTAAACAGTTTTTAGGTATATACATAGTTCATAGTTCACAATAATTTTTAGTGTTAATACAACATAACCAAGAAACAATACGATATTGTTGTGTATGGTAATTTTGATTTTTGTATCTATTTTCAGTTTCTATTTGTTCATGTTCAAAGGCATAGAATATTGTTTACAACTTTAAATTTATTTAATACCAATTACCTGCTTTCCATTCTTCAACTACTAGTTCAATTCTCCGTAACAGTGTCAAAGTGTCAACACTGTCAAACATAAATTTCCTTAGGACCTTAATATATTTCTGTGACACACGGACAAGATGATGTCACTACGAGGTATAAACATGGGCAAGTACTTCAAGGACATCTCAAGCGCATAACGCAATTCTAGGTAATTAAATACTAATGTCGTTGTAAGTATTCTTACCAATGTAAATTTTTTGCGAGTTTTCATGTAGGTGGAAATGATGATGTTTTTATGTTATTATTTGACAAGTGATAGTAGTTTCGAATGTAGAATAGCCTATTTCAGGAATAAATATGGTCATTCGTGATTTTTTAAACTCTTCGCAGTGAGAGTAGAACTAAAACAATGGTGTTAAGTTAACAGTAAGTCTTATTACTTTACCCTCATTTTGTATGAAGCTGCTTCTGGTATTTTTAAAACGATTTTCACTGTTTCACTCAAAGAAAGTTTGCAACGTGAGTCTCGTCAATAACTTAATTTGGTCTGCCTCCCATCTCAGTCATCACAGAACAGTTCAAACATTATGGTGATCGTTTGTTCGTATTCCTAAAAAATATACACTGTAGTATTTAAAACATACCTGGGGCAACACACGTGGAACAAGACTGGATGATCTATCCAACGTTGTTATTGGTCACTTTCTCTGTGACTAGATGACATTTGCCAGAAAACTTTGATCTAAACTTGGTGGCATGCACTCTATTACATGTTTAGCACAGAAACAAACCAAACACTCCATAACTAATATTACAAATCTTTTTGAAGCAACAGTCATAGAATCTGAAACAGTAATCATTACGCAGCTTAATTTACATAAAGACACAAACAGCTGAGAAGTTTGTACAATTGTAAGACGTTTACTTTGCAATGGAGCGCATTGCGTCATAGTCGAAATATAGTGTATATAAGACTGTTCACTAATTAACGAGAAATTAATCAAGATGTTTTTGTTTACATTTCAATTGTTTTGAATGAGTGTACTACAATAAAAATTGATATAACAAAAGTACAATGCTACGGTGGATTTTGCATAAGATTCAGAACTAGCGCCAACATATCTTGAAGTGAAGAATATGCAGCAGATAAATGATAATATTTGAATTGTCCTATTTTTATCGTAATGCTGCTGTTTTCAAGATGATCAATGGTATGGAACGCTTTCAAATTAAGATGCTATAAAATAGAATAACAACCTACCTTTCTGATTTTTGATATAATTTCTTGCATCGAAGATGAAATATAAGATTATTAGCACTTATAGAGAGGTACTATCGAATCCATTACAATGATGAATTTGAATAAGGCACTCGGTATACCTGTGTTTACATTCGAAAACGTTATGACTTTTAAGTCATGACAACTGACAAGTGAAATTGGTTTTGAAAGATCATATACAAAATATAGGTTGAGAAGTGCGTGCATTTAGACCAGTTGTTCTCAAACGCCAGTCCTTGGGCTGATGTTGGTCATCGTAGTGTTTTGATGTTGGTCCGAAAGAATTTTTCTACCGGCGCAGCGCCTGGTTACCAAAGATTACGCAGTTCACAGAGTAGGAAACATTTCGTTGTGTGGAAAAGCTTTGTCGTCCGCCGTTTATATTGATTTTGACATTAGTATAATTTCTAGGCGGTGTATTGATTAAGACAGGGTCCTTTGTTGAATCTATTCAGTGTTGAGAATCTATACATAAATACACATATTTCGATTTCCGCAAAGCGGACAGAGGGGATACTTTCGCTTATATGGGTATCACCGGGAAACGTTTAGACAAATACGTGCGTCGTAAAAAAACGAAAACAGCCGTCAGAAATATAAACGCCTTTATCCCAGCTGCAATACTGATTAAAACAATCACAGTAAAATATAAAATTGATTGAACATATGTTGCAATGAATAGATTTCATTTCATCAAAATCCGTAATAAATTCAATCATGAAAATAATTTGATTGGAGTCGTTTGATACCGACGATGTAAAATAGTGCTCATTGTGCAAATTTAACGATTTTCATTTTCAGTCCTATGGTATCGCTGCCGTTGGCAACTAAATTAAACGCAAAATTTTGGCGATTTATAGTATCAGAAATAGCATTAGGACAGCATTTATTATCTGTCACTTAGCTCGTAAAAAAATGTGATACTTTTTTTTTCATTTTTTGCGTGCATGATATCGTTTCAATCTGTAATTGAGTGTGATACCTGTGCGAATTTCAACATTTTTGTCGAAAATTCGAATATTGACATGGTAGTTACAATATTATTACATTTATTGCAAATTATATGTTTAAATTATCTTTAATTTCATCGACTTACCGCTGATAATAGAGAAGTGTTTTTACTAAACTAAATGCTCAAAACGTCTCTCAAATTGAGAAGTTACTCAAGGCGAGATTAATGTACGAAGTTTAGATGAAAGCGCGATTCATCTCATCGACTTGGTCATGTCTGCACAAGACAATTCATTGTCCTTATATCGATCATTTCCATCCTGGCATAGTCTTGACGTTTATAGATACAACATTGAACATCAATCTCGACATCGGGATTAGGAAAAAGGCCAATCCCAGTTGGAATAGTTTAAAAATAACTCAAAAATATTCTGCCAATAAATACACATATCTACCAATGGTTTAGTACACGCTAAAATTGTTCTGCGGGGCGCAAGGAATGTGTGCTCGGGCCGCGGTGTGAACCACCCTGATCTACCCTATAAAGCTCGGTAAAAGCAATGCCTAATCATAATCAGTTAACCGCTATCTTGAAATTCATACTAACATACATTCCTAAATCATCAAAGGTTATTACTGTTCCACCCGAAAGTTGGCCAGGGCAAATTTGACGTTTTTACGTACACTACGAAGACGCGTCTGACGCATTACACAATGGTATGTTGTGAGTTTGTTGATTAATTATGATAATTGGTAAATTAGAAGCGCAATGGTTGGATGTCTTGTCTCAGTCTAGCGCAGTATTCAGTGTGAATCAGTGTTTACAGGTTCTGTATTGTTGGTAGTACTCGCTATGTATCTGTTGGAAATGACAATTTGTGAGTTTACAAATTCTTGTAAGAATTGATGTTCTCAAGTCTAATACAAATATAATGTAGGGCAGTATTACAGTCAACTTAGCGCAGTAACTACTGCTTTAATATTTTATTCATAAAACTTGGATTTTATTTACTCCAAGGCATATTTCGTTTGATTGTGTTACTTGTAGAGTCAAAACATTAGGTATGTATATACTGTTGAATTTTGTATGTTTTTAATCTATATCGTTCTGATTGATTTCAAATGCTGAAAGTTGTGATATTATAATACAGAAAAAAATTGGGTTGTCTTGCCGTATAAAATATTTAGTTTATGTTCATTGTTTTCGGCAGATGCCATGTTCCTGATTTCATTCCCAGTTCCATCGTGTTGACTGTTTTGAACAAACTACACAGATTTTTAGTTGAATTTCATTGGGACATAGCACTTTACGGCACAGATAATATGCTGGAACCCCTTGCTCTCTAATATCAAACACTAGTAACTGGTTCAGAAACAAATCGTTTTGTTCGTGACAAGACTTGTTTATTGGGGGTGCGTTGTCGAAGATCTTCAACCACTAATATTTAGCTACGAATGTAAACTTTTTCTTTTCTTTTGAAAAGCCGAGAACATTTGAAAAATATATTGCATTTTAAGAATATCCTAACGTCAAAGCCAGGAGAATGAGCATGTGTTCAAGTATTCAAAATGAAATGAAAAATACCTATTGCTTCAATTATCACCCTTCCGAAATTTACAAAACCATCTACACAGAAAGCTAAACTCACATCTCCCACTAACCTTTTGATTTCTGGTTTTCTTCTCTCTAAAGGTATTTGAGTTTTAAGTCAATTTCTTATGCTCCACATTTTCAGGAATGTTTGTAAATGAGCGTTCTTGGCCTGAATCGCTTGTTTTCTGAATAAAGGTCCACAATTCATATGTTTTGTTATATTCATTATGACATCATACAAAACCTCTGTCTTAGCAGTTAAAGGTGGATAAAGACGCCAAAACTATACCCGCATATAGAATATATATCTAGAAGAAAACGAAGTAGCATAACAAAACAGATAATGTTTAAATTTTAGTACCATATTTTAGATAGGCTGAAGTATGTTTCGTGATTATGGCGTGATTGTTTCGGCCATCCACATAAAAATGTCGGTTCTTTTAATCACGCGTGTATCAAGTCTTGCGATCTGGTAGATATCGATGTTTAATTTGTTTTAATTTATTGCGGAACTGCGCGTTCTGTTTGACAAATTCGAAAACTACTGTGCGATTATTGTCGACGAGACGCCAGGGAAATTATAGAAATTAATTTGAAATCCCTGTCTCCAAATTAACTTTATTTTGATTATTATATTTCGCGTCGGCTTTGATCTTCCTTATCGTCACTTTAAAATGAAAAAGTAAACAATATCTTTGCTACTGGCCTCGGGATTCGTTGTATTTTCCTGTCACATCCATGTTTTTGCATTAAATATAACTCATGAAATGTCGTCACTGCGGATCGGTGAAAATTTCTGATAAGATTGACTCAATGTTACTTCATTAAGAACTTGTATTAATGTTTCCAATTTTACAAAACGACCAACTGAATAATTAAAAATCATGCAACATTAGGGCGACATTATGCTCATCGAGGAATTGAAATAATATCATATCCACTGGAAATAAATAAAAATATTATACCGCAAATATAACACTCAATTCTGACGCCATTGTCCGTTAGCCAGAAGTGTATGCTGATTCTCGTGTCTCGTACGATGTGCTGTCCAAGCGTTTAATTCGGCGACGTACAAACGACGTGCCGTGTCCAGGCCACGTGTTGTGTTAACAGATATTAGAACAGTAAACTGTCATTCTAATATTCGATAGGATATTCGAATATTTTCCCCAACTCAAACGAAACTGAAACTTATAACCACGCGGACTGACGACAAAGCCACGACCATGAATATTCACAGGAAGTCATCCATCAATGAGGCAGAATCCTGACGCGGGTCGAGTAGGGTCCAAAACTAGTGTCAGAATTTTTCCTTCCAAGGTTCGGTTCTTTTTCCGCAACTCAACATCGAGTCATCAAAGTTTGTGTCTGTATTCTTTTGTCCTCTTTTCCAAAACTAATTGCAAATAGCTTCGGTTTGCTTCGCTCAGTCAATCGCAAAAAATCTGGTCCAACTAGCCATCTGTCAGAATTCTATAAAAACTTAGGAATATCCATTCATCTAGTGCAGTAATCAGTTGGATTTTGCGCGGAATCAGCTTTAAGTAGAACGATTCTGGCAATTTTCTTGGAATGCTTCAATTATATTTGACAGAATATTCCAAATTTGTACAGGGAATATTTACATTCAACATCTTTGAATTGACGAGGAATTGAAATATTTCGAAAAATTATAGAATTACTCCACTTTGATCAAGACTTCAGTCTCTTATTGTTGAATTCGTCATATCAAGCATCAGATATTGAACTTACAACAGTAGGGCTTTTCTATTTGTAACAAAACCTGTGAACCCCTGGTGTTCAAGTATGAAGCAATCCCTTTCCCCTCCCACAGTTCAAGCTCAAGCACTTTTCGCAGTAAGTCTCTCGATATCTAAATCAATACTTGTGGCGACACGATGAACGTATATCTCACGTGGAATCTGATTTAGAATTCGAAACCCATTCAAAGTAAGTAAATCAACTTAAAAGTCCATATCGATATTGCGCTACTAGGAAATTTATTTCCGCTGTCGTACGTAACTCCCGTTATGCAACAAAAATTCGCCACATATGATGAATCAACATCTCCGAAAGAACGGAACAATAATTTATACGCACATGGCTGTTTTCAACAAAAACAATTATTTTAACAGTTAAAAATTGCAGAATTAATATCATTTTCGAAAAATCGAGTATATGAAGCATGACTATCATATTGACGTTTATAGCTGTCGGTCTTTCCAAAAAATCACTCCGATGCGATTTTTTATAAAATCGTTGTTTTTTTAGGTTGTTTCGTAAGACTTTTTATACGAGCTGCGTGTTCGTTTTAGTTTTCGTGATTCTCATTCCTCCCCATAAAATCAAATTCATCAGGACGGTAAAATAATTTAATTTTACTGTTCGTGAAAATATATTCTCGTCCATCTTTAGACGACTCACTGAGCGACAAATCGTACGCCGTGCCTACAGATTCACTGGACCAGCTTTTCCCGATTTGTTCTTGTAGCATGGTTAAATGGTCGCGTAAACCACAATGCATCAAAATTGAAAATTGTCTTATTGTCAAAACTTGTACGCAAATTTTCGACCAAGTCCAACCAAGACGAGTTTCAATTCCTATTGGTTTATGTTGTCGACCCACTCCACGCAAAATGCTAGAAGTGCGCTATGGAATTATCCGACGCGATTAAAATCACAGCTTGATTCGCTTCAATATTGGCCAACGGAATATCGTGTAAGTAATGCATGTATTGATCTCTTTTAAGCATTCTAGCTGAATGTGGTATGCGTGACTCGATCACAAACACGTTGTTCAACGCCAATATTCGTCGTAACCAGATTTCACCGATAATATTACTACTTCTGTATCTTGCGAAACGCCTTTGTTTCATAAAGTGTCAGTGCTAACACGGGTATGGTTTATTTTTACTAGACCAAGTTTTCGTTTCGATTCATGATTTATATATAATTGAGATTTGACTAGCAGAGTCTACCACAGCGATAACTTATTCAGAAAAGCCCAATGGATCCTTCACTACAACTGGCAAAAGCTGAAACTGGACACCACGTCTGAAACATTTGCATTGGCAACGCTGTTTGTACGAGTAGAGGCATTGCGATGATTGTTAGCATTTGATCTTCTTGTAAAGATCCTCAGGCCATGGATCACTGAATGCTGCTTACCCGAACAAGCGCGACACATGTTAGGAAATCTACACCAAAAAGCAAACTGACCAAGTTCGAAACAATTGAAACATAAACTTGATTCTAGTGAAAATCTTCTTTTTTTACGTCATTGGACAAAAAAACTTGAAAAATGTAAACCATTGCAGAAGCAACTACGTTTTTGTGGAAGCTTGAACGTTTGACTTAAATTGGAGATTGGAGTTCTGCCTACTTCAGGGGTGGGCAACCTTTGGCACGCGAGCCCATTTATTCGGCATGCGAGCGAGGCCTCAGAAACGAGATCGTCTTATTTCAGATAAAAAGTTTCGAGACTGAATTATCTGATAAAACTCGGTGTTCGTTTATTCATTATCGTTTGTTAACAATCTGTTATTTATTTAAGTTCTTTTTGTCTTTTCATGGCTTCAAAGGAATATATATATCATGGCGTAGCAACTGAGCTCTCGACGAATTTTGTCGGAATTAACACAACGTTTGGCTACATTGTTACGTAATATATATTTCTGATTGATTTATGAAGTGGTGCAACTCATGTTGGTTAGAGTTACTTGCTAACTTACTGTTATAACTTGATTTCGAAAGAAATATAAGCTATTAGGAAAGGGAATACAAGAGAGAAGTGCAGAAAACGAACTATTACATGATTGGGATGCCATTCCCGAGAATTTTTTTAAAACTTGAAAACTTTGCAATGCACTATTCTACAACAGGGGTCGGTAAACTGAGGGCCAAATGCGGCCCGCGAGCTAATTTGTTGCGGCCCTCGAACAACCCGACATTTATTAAATGAAACAAAAATTGATCCCAAATTTATTATTGTATGTACGCGGATTTATGTGGTAACAAGTTCTGCTGTATGACGCTTGTTTTGAAATATGTAGCGTCAGTTGCATGTCGTTCGAGTTAATTGTGATCTTTAAAATTCAAAAATGTTTGGAAAACGCAGGATAGCTCGCGACGAGGACTGAACATTCCAATGTGCTTCGACGAAAAATTCGAGCCGAGACCCAGGACTGCGCCACAGTTGATCTATGCGACAGTGCAAAACAAGTAATGGGCACGTTCGGAAGCACATATTGCTGCGAACAGCTTTATCTAAAATGCATTACACTTGGAATAAACTTCGTACTCGCTTGTCAGGTCTTCTTTGGAAGACGTACCGTGGGGGCAAGTGGCAAAAAAACATCATCCTTCACATTAATAACAAGTAAATAAAAACGATATGTTGTTGAATAATATATATATATTAAGAAACGGCACATACACATCTCATAGTAGCAGGCTTTTAACGCAATAATAGAAGGTGTGAATGCGCCACAATTTGAAATTCAATCTAGCGCTTGTTCGAAGGCGGAAAAATTGCGGCCTGCGCGCTACAGGGAATGTGTATATTTGGCCCGCAAGTACATAAAGTTTTCCGACCACTGCTCTACATCATCTGCATATGCTTGTGAATCTTTGTTCTCAGTTATGATTGGAATTTTAATAAGTCGTCTCGTAACAGGAGTAGCCTGGACGTTGAAACCAGTAGTTCGTATATTTCTTTGAAAGTTACAAAATATAAACCCAATGTAAAATCTCTATCAGCGGTAATGCAGCAGCAGAAGTCTCACTGAGATAGAATAAGAAAAGTAATCAAATCTATTTGTCGGACTGATAATATATCCGAATAGTGAATCCGTCTGTAGGCCTACATGTTTGAAAGGTTTATTATTATGTATTTTTGCTTTGGAAGTAGCAAAGCATTGTTTTTAATTTTGGTCGGCACGCGGAAGAATTTTGTTGTTAAATTTAGCCGATTTTGGCACGCGAGCCGAAAAAGGTTGCCCACCCCTGGCCTACTTGAACCTTGTTGAGTACATTTACGTACAAAATACACACTGCATATATAGCATCCACACCACACATACAAATTGACAATTTCGTTATCTTCATAGGTTTTGTTTCCGTATTTTTAACTCCAATTGTTTTTGGAAGTTGAGCAAACCTTTTTTTTTTAATATTTCCCTCCGTTATCCATTTCATCAACACATTTC